GGTTAAAGGTTGACTTAGATTGTAGGTGACTAGGTGATGACAAATGTAAACAAGGGTAGAGTCCCAGTGAAGAGAGTCCTTACACATTGGCACCAACTAAACCTGTAAAAATATACAATAAACACAAAGATACACATATATGCATAGGTGAGTGTGCTTCTCATATGTGATACTTGTACATAGCTGCGTGAAGGGTCATAGTGTTTCTTGAGTATAGATAGCAAAAGTAATACAATGTTGCAATATAGCAGGGAAGGATTCAGAATCTAGAAATTTGACACAAACTCGAGGTGTGGTCAAAAAGCAAAAAAACAGTTTATTCTTTATTTAGATTTTATAGCACAGTACTGCCCACTACTCAAAAAAGTATTAGAATAACAACTAAAACCCCTTGAGACCCAGAGCTTACTCTTAGACTATAAGAAAATCACTACTCAGGCTAAATTACTGCATCAGTAAAAACATAAACCTAATTTTTTTTTGCACTTCCCGTCACTGAGTTCATTATTCTTTAATGCCAATCTGTGTAAAAGTTGCATAAAAAGCACAGTTGGAGTGCTATAAATTCTTAAGAAGGCAGCAACGTGGAGGGTCAGACGACAATCCCGGGGCCACTCGGAGCAGAAAAGAAAAAAAGAAAAAGGCAGAGCAGCCAGGATCTTGTGCGAACTGTAACACAAGGAGTGCTGAGCCTCGTGAGAGCTTGACACACATCTGAAAAGTAGGACAAAGTATCCAGGAAAGAGTGCTGTAGCTTGCATTTCCTATTCTCTGGGTGTCTGTGATAGAGACCAGGCTTGCTTGAGCGATTCAAACCACCGTGGATCTCTAACAGATGTACTGCTGCCTTAAGGATTGAGCTGGCATGAGCTGACATTACCCTGAGAGCAGAGTAAAAGTCCTGAGAGCGGTCACTGCCCTGAGCCCCCAAGAGAGTGTGGGTGGTGGGAGAGAGTGCAAAAAGACAGCGCTCTCCTCACAGATTTGTCCTCGCTGTTCTTCTGAAACAGGCAGTGCTCTTTTGAAATGGTGCCAGCGGAGGCTGGCCCAAATCTTTGCAGCTGAAACTTTTACAAGCTCTTGAGCAGAACGGGAAAGACACAGAGTAAGATCTGTGCAAGGAGTTTGCAGCTCCTACGTCTTCCTCAGCCTGTCGAGACATAAAAAAAGCAAAGAGCCACGCTTTCTTTCTTTGACAATGTATATAGTCTTCAAGATTATCAACAGAAATGTTCTGGATCGAAGACTGCATTGGAAGAGAAAGGCTTCAAAGTATGTGTAAGAAATGAATAAAAGAAAAATGAAGACTCAGTGACGTCACTCAGGAAGCTGTCTT